GAACAAAAGCCTGCAACATGAACAAAAGCTAGTAAAGAAGGTGTTGTTGGATTGGTAAATGAGGTCTTTTGATCAATTTACACGAGGAACGACTAATTTTACTCAACAAACGAACACGTTACGTTCATGAGGTAAATTCGTTGAGTAATTTACCTAACGAACAAGGCTATTTACCTCACGAACGACTTGTTGTCGTTCGTAGTGTAAAATGTATTGTTGGATTGGTAAATAAGGTCTTTTGGTCAATTTACACGAGGAACGACCACTTTTACTCAACAAACGAACACCTTACATTCTCGAAGTAAACTACCGCGTTCGTCGAGTAATTAACCTAACGAACAAGTCAATTTACATCACGAACGACTCTTTGTCGTTCGTAGTGTAAAAGGCATCGTTTGATTAGTAAATAAAGTTTCTTGGTCAGTGTATTTATCTCTTTAAGCATCTACACACTAATTTTAGTGTCTCTACACTCAATGACTTGAGACTAATTATCCTCACAATCATGTAAATATAGTGTGTACCAGTTTTTGCAGATGATCAATGCCCAATTGATAATCTTATGATTAAGAACGTTTAGGAAATCATGTGGAAATATGAAAGGTCTCTTTATATCCAATCCAATTGATAATCTCATGTTGAATGGTGTTTATGGGCATATATCACGTATTTCATCTTTTGTAGCATGGACGAAAGCCTAAAACATTGCTGAACTTGCAGTTGTAGTTATTTTTTGCAGTGTCATGCAAGTGCGTATACTTATGTAATTTGATAGCGCATGTATGCAATTCTCACTTTACAATATGCAATTGAATATACTTGTATGTAATTTCGTAGCATTAATTTATGTACAATTCTAGTTTACAATATGCAATTTCGTATATGGTGTCAAAAAATTGCATAAATTGTATATATGCAATTGAGCATAAACTGAAGTATCATATTGTGAACCTTCATGTAATTGTATACGAGTGAATTCTTGCATAGCCTATGTACAATTGCATATACTATTTCACAAAGGAACTTCAACAAATAAAATGTCAAAGACTTTATAACTCGAGGCCGCTCATCTCTAGTAATGCCGATATACAAGTCAGCACTTCATGAGGATACTCCAATTTTATCTGCAAACACATTTTTTTTGGGGTCAATAGAACAAGTAATTAAGTAGATGGGCACATACAGATTGAGATTAAATTCACTTGAGGGAGAAAAGGATCACAGTGGGGGGTCTGGTGCTTTGATGAAAATTTCTAAAATATTTCACAATTAGGAAAAGCTATGGACTACGGCAATGGGCACATGACACTATTCATGATTGATAAACTAAATTTAAGCTAAAATTAAATATGGCAGACATCATTTTTCAGATTTAAGAGGAAGATTAATCCTCAAAGCCAACATGAAAACTTAAAAAGCGTTTTTCAAATTCAAATGCAAGTTGTCATCAGATACACGAAACAATTTGCACTGATGACAACTTACATGGTATTGGAAAAACTGGTTCAGAATAAGATATAGAATGCAAAAGGAGGGAGGAGAAGGAGTTTGAAGAAAGAAGAAGAGATGAAGACAGTCAAGAGTGGTGGGCTGAACAAGTCTGACCCGTCTTCTGCCTTGCCGCAACCCTTCGTCTGCCGACTTGCCCAGTGCACGCGTCGCTTCCGTCGAAATTTTTTGTTCCTTTCTCAGTCACGTGAGGTTTAATAAGAAAGGGTTGAGCCAGGTCTTCAGGTTATTCAATCTCAGCCCTTAATTTTTAAAATGCAATATCGAGAATGGCTGCACCGGTACCACCAATCTACCACAGAATTTTCGAGAAAACAATACCGTCTCCCACGAAAACCAGCAACAGTAATGTTCCAATTCTGCAAGATAGTCAGATTGGTTTTTGGAAAGCTTTTAATTGTATAGAAAATTTGATATTTTTCAAACAAGTTTATTACTACATCAATTTTATTTTGTTCTAATTTTCATTTGTTCTTCTTAGAATGTACATAATTAGAACACAATGAGAAATTTTCAGAATGGGCTTCCTTCACCAAACCCGTTATGAGCCCACCAACTAGGGTTAAAGGTTTTTATTATGTGATCCTCGTTTTCTTATTGCACAGACCGTCCTACTTAGAGTATTTGACTTTTTGAATACAGCCAGCCAGATAAATTTTAAAAAAAATATTAAAGCATCAATAAGGATTACAGGAGGCTCTGTCCTGAACCCGTTACCCATAGATCCCCCAAAATAATATTAGTATTCAAGAGGCTCTGTCCTCCACGCAACATCAACATGAGGCCCTGTTTGGTGGGCTTTGGATTGGTTAGGATTGAGTTTGGAGTGTTGGACTGGTTTAACTTGGATTAGGTTGGATTTTAATAAATTATTTACTACATTAAGTTGGGCTAGACTGCACTAGACTTAAGTCCAGTTCGTTGTTTGGTACAAGTATGGACCGGATGGAATTGGACCTCAAAATTTTTTATTTTAAAATTAATTTCAATGTTTATTAGATCATTTAATATCAGAAATAATTAAATTTGTATTTAAAAAAAATGTACACATAATTAAAAATAAGAATTTTAAAAAAAAATTAAAAATAAGAAATCACATGAAGATACCATAAAAATAGTCCAAAAATTCACAATTAATAATAAACAAAAAAATTCTTTTAAGATAATTATGAGAGAAAAACAAAATTGCAGTCCGAAAAGTAAAAATGAAAGTTAAAACAAGCATCTACCCAAGGAACGAAAAGAAAGATTTTTTTATTTTTATTTTTAAATGAACCATCAACAAACAATCAAAGCCCCCCCCCAACCCAAAAAAAAAACCATAGCACTCGAGCTCTAATCCAAAAAAAATAAAGAAAAAAGAAAAAAAGATGGCAGTCATCTCAATATTTAACAATTAAATTAATAAAATTAAGAGAGAAATCTGAAATCATAGATGAGAGTTGAGAGGAGAGGAGAGAGAAGAGATGATAGAAGAGAGAATCATAGCTTCATAGAAGAAAGAAGATGCATAGATTAAAGAAATCTACGTTCAAAATGACAGTGTTGAGGTCACAGGGGAGAATGAAAAACTGAAAAAGAGCTATGGGAAGAAGAGAAGAGCAAAAGCTGCTCTAAGAGCACCTCTAGCGCTCCCATTTTGCCCGGGCAGGAGGGGGCCTAGTGCCATGGCTTGGTCTCTAGTGCGCAACAGAAGATTGGGCAGCTTGTGGCATCCACAAGCGTGGGCAAGCCCAAAGGCAAATCTTGCCTGGACTTGCTGACGTCAGCAACGAAAAAAAAAGAAGAAAAAATTGAAAAAAAATCTTTAAAAAAACAAAAAAACCAAAATTTTCAGAATTTTTAAATTTTTTAAAAAAAAACCTAGTCATATTCTTCACTTCCCACACCAAAATTAATGGTTTAAGTATAAAAAAAAATAGAAAATAAATTAAAGTGAATAGTAATTGCCCTTACCTTTTGGGGTGGAAACAAAAAAGGTAAGGGCTGCAACTATTCACGTGAATAGTGACAAACCTTACATTGCCTTTGCTTATACCCCCATTTGCTGGATTGGTATCCCAAGCGAAATATCAGGCCCAACCGGTCCCAAAGTGCATTTAGGCCCACTAAACGACGGATAGGATTTTAGTCCCTTTTAATTGGAGAAGTTTGGTTCAATCCAGCCCACCAAACATGCCCTGAGAGTAAGACCCAAAGGATTACAATCTTAAAGCAGAACTCCAAAAACAGACACTATCATCCATATTTCTTGAATACAGACTCAACTGCAAAGCAGTGTGTATGTTTATGTTATTCTTATATTTGTAGTTTTAGGCTTATAGTATAGAAACTACAACACAATCTGTATATTTTTTTTTACTCTCCTATTGGTATATTTTAGGCTTATAGAATAGACACTGCAATACAATGTGTAATTTTAGGCTTGTAAAAATTCATTTTTTTTAAATAAAATAAAATATAAAAGATAATATAAGAAAAGAAAAGGTCAATTGGCGCTTGTGCAAAGAGACTTGTAAATTTTGAAGTATCTATTAAGTTTAAACCAAAGTTCCCTAAAGAAAATATATAGTAAGGTATATGTTTTGTTTATTTTAATAAGAAAAAAAATTTAAGTAGTTAATAATTTTTTATACACACTGCATTGCACTCACCAAATTTACTTTGCTCGAATCGTAGTTAGAGCATCTCCAAGAGAGTTGCTATCCTCTCATCCATAGCTATTTTTGGCTAAAAAGAAGGAAAATCTTAGCTGTAGCAAACTCCCTTCTTGGCTCTCTATTCTGGAGAACCAACTTTTGGCTCACTACATCTAGCAAGGAGAAGAGAGAAAGTGAGCCTCGCCAAGCAGAAGCCGTGCAAGAGAGAGGGGGGGAGAAAGAGAGAGAGAAACAGGGGGAGAGAGATAGAGACATTTGGAAGGTTGGTAAACCAACCTTTTCCTTTTAATATATTTCATTTGCAAGAGAGAGAAAGAGAAAGAGAAAGAGAAAGAGAACAAAATAATAAAATATTTGAGATTAGCCAAAATAGAGAACATTGCACATTTTAAGTAGTTTGCTAAAATGACTTTCTAGCTATTTTAGTTAGAATGTGGCTAAAATTTGAAGACTCTCTTGGAAATGCTCTTATACTCTTTAGTTGTTTTTTTTGTTTTTTTTATTGGTCAACACTAGCTCACTTATTTCACCACGTGGCATTGTTTTGTAACCAATAATTCCCAGCCCGCAAATTCGGGAATCAGACCTACAGTACCTGATCTGTTGGAAGCTTCCTCCTTAAAATATCAGCCCTACAGTACTTATTTCACCATGTGGCAATGTCGTAGCACACCAGAATCAGTTTCTTCAAAAGCACATTGATTTCAAACCAGCGGTTAGTCAACTTGGAACTTGGAAGCTTCCTCCTTCTTGAAAAATATCAAGTACATGTGATGCTGTTGTGGTAGGATATATAATCTATGGAGATTTTTGAAAAGGAAAGTTACTACTATTTAAGACGCGCTTTTCTTTGGTCAGGTTTTAAGATATCAGCTTCACTTAGAGCACTTCCACCCCTATGGGCAAATAATCAAGACCTTCCTCAGAAAACTCAAACATAACAGTAATAGTATACACAACAACAATGGCTTCCAAGTCAGTCTTAATCGTTGCTCTTCTGTTCTCTGTTCTCATTCTCTGCCTTCAAGGCACTTATGCTGACCGTATAGAAGGATGGGAAGGTGGCCATGCCAGATTTTATGGTGGGGGTGATGCCCCTGCCTCTGACGCAATTGGTAAATTCCCAAGCCACATTTGTTTTTTCTTTTTTCTCTCTGTTTTTCTTCACTTGTGAGTCTCTTACTACTTTCTTCCATTATTGCAGGAGGTGGCTTCGGAAATGGAAATTGGGACAGCCAAGGGTATGGCTTTAGCAATGGGTCTTGTTATGGGTTGAAATGTGCTAGTTGCCCCAAATGGTGCCTCACTGGTGACGTAGAAAAACAGGAGAAACGGGCCAAAAGGGGACGCAAGAGGTCCAGGGAAGGCGATGATGAAGAAAGTACGGCTGCCCCAAGGAAGAAGAGATGCGAGTGGAAAAAATCACTTGGAGAAAAGTTTATGCTGGCAATCACACACATTGGGTTGGACAGTACGTGAAATTTCCTATTTCCAATCATCTCAAATCTCTTTTCCTTTCTAATCATATGTGTTTCAATCTAAATAATATTTGCATCCTCTTGTTTTTCTTTTCCTTTTGGGTTCTTGCAGACGCTACGCCAAAGAGAATTCTCGAGTTCATGAATGAGCCAGACTTAACTATAAAAAATGTGGCTAGTCATTTGCAGGTTCGTTAATATTCAATTAGACTAATGGAATTACTACCTAATTTTATGTTATTTCCTTTCATATATTAGGAGTAAAAAGATTTCGTAATTTTGCAAGGTGCAATTGTTTAAAAACTTATATAAAAATAAAAACTTACAAAAAGAAAAAGAAACCAGCAAGGATATACATATACACATATATTTTATTTATTGATTTTTAACTAATTTATAAAACTAAGAATTGTTTGGATTTTTTAAAAATAAAAATTATTTATAACTGGATTTTATTATATTTTAAGTATTTTAATTACTAAAATGTCCATGTCATATTAGCTAGATAACGGTTTTATTGAGAAAATTGACGGAATTAGATAATATGGGACACGAAATATATAGGTTTATTAATGATCATTTTAGTGTTTATTGAAAAATACATCGTGTATGGATGTTTGTTAGTTAATGATGGTTTGCGCATATATATGGATTTCCAGAAATATCGTATCTTCTTGATGAAACAATTGAACGTTGCGGTTGCGGGGGACGAAGACATGCGTGAGAGGTTGCGCAGGTCAAGCTTTGCACTTGGCCACCCAGAACTATTCTTCAACAATAACGAACGAGACCAACATCACTCACAGCTCCTGAAGCAACAGCAAATGGGAACATCAATTGGCTCTACATTTCAACCGTCAGCTGGAATTGGATGCACCCTACCCCTTACTGCTGCTGCTTCCAACAACCACAGCTCCATCCAATTCCCTAATTATCAGCAATCTTCAACTAGCAACAGCAGCAGATCCATCCCTCAACTTATTGGTTCGGGGCAGTCGAGCCTATTGAACAATAATCCAGCTAACTTTCTGCGCCAGCAGCCAATGCTTGGTAATGGTAATGGGGATCAGCTGTTTTGTCAACAAAACCGCAGCCTGGCACCTTTTGGAATGCAACAACTGAGTAACAATTTTGAAAAGGGAGGTATGTCATGTGGCCCAATGAATAATCTTGGACTTACCTACAATAATATTGGGACAAATAATCTGATGCAAATATACCCACCACAAAGCCAGCCAAGGACCAATAACCCATTCAGCTACAACATTGCTACATCAGTAAATCAGAACGGTTCGAATTTTACTCCAATGTCTTCGAGCTTTGATAACTTGGGGTCTCATTTTAACGATGTGAATCAATTCCGAGTTTATTGGCTGTTGTCGTGTTCTGCTGGTATTGAGACTGGTGCTAGTTCTGCATACCAATTCCCTCCAAATTTGCCTGACAAAAATGGTGATCTTGATCAGCAACAAAATGTTCCAGTGTTGCCACCCCAAGAAGGGAATTTTAATGACCAGTGTCGTCTGCCAAATATCAATGTTGGAGGAGGAAATGTTGAAAATTCCAATAGAGGTTTCATGGATAATACTAGTACTGTAGTTGCTACTCCTACCTTGATCAACAACAACAATATTTCTCATGAACAAGAATCGGCCAGGGACCCTGATATCTTCATGATGCCCGATGATTTTTTCCCGTATGAGCAGGATAACTATCAACCTCCTTCTCAGGTACATATAAACCAGAAATTTATGATTTTCTTTCATTCTTGCTAATATATATTATTTCAGCTCTTTCTCTGTCTCTTTTTCCCCAAAAAATTGTTTATTTCAATGTGTGCAGCAACAAGATGGAGGTCACGATCAACTTCCTTATCAAGTTGAAGTGCCGGACCCTGCTGCGCACCAAGTTCCCAACCTTTCTGCGGACCAAGTTCCAAACCCTGGCCCATACCATGTCGAAGGTAATGCACCTGATGAAACAATCTTGGAGCCAGGCATGCCTACTCTCTCTAAATTATAGCAACCATGTATTTACATCTCTTCTGGTAAAAAAAAGAAAAGAAAAACGAAAGGGCTCTCTCTTTGATAATTTTTGGTCATTTGGTTTTGCTTGTATACTTGCAGAACATATATGGGATGCTGATATACAGTATGCTGATATATTGGATGGTGGTATATGGGAGGCTGATCCGTGCTATTGGATATAGAGGAATGCTATTAACAATCGCTCAAAAGCGATTCTCACAGCACTTGCTAGACACGTGTACCCGTTCCCATCCTTTCTTTTTTTTAATTGTTTTTTCTCTTTCTTCTCTCGGTTGCCTCCCTCTCTCTCTTATTCTATTACTTTTCTCTCTTTCTTCTCTCTGTTGCCTTCGTCTCTCTCTTTTTTCTATTTTTTTTTCCATTGCTCTCCCTCTATTCTCTCCTCCTCCTGCTTCTTCTCCTTCTTATTTTCTTTTCCCCGTCTCCGTCTTCTTCTCTGTATCTGTCTCCATCGATGGGTTGTAAAAACCCAAACCTTTTGTAACACAAAAACAAATACCTCAAGCTTTAAAAACCCAAACTTCTTCTTCTCTGTGTATGTCTTCCCCCAAATCACAGTTCTCTCCCTCAGATTTCTTAACTTTCTTCTCTCTTTTCTCTCTGTTTCTCTTCTCTCTCTTTTTTAATTTCTTCTTTTTCTTCTCATCTGGTATCCGAGAAAGAAACCCATTTGATGGGTCTCGGAAAAATTCTAATGGAGCTATTGGTGCTGGAGGTGTAATCCGTGACTCTACAGGGGACTGGGTCACAGGGTTTACAGTTAATTTGGGTAAAGGCCAAATCTTAGAGGCTGAGATATGGGGGCTGTTCTTTGGTCTCAAATTGGCAGCTGAAAAAGGCATCCCCAACCTTGTGGTTGAGATGGATTCTGCAACTGCAGTTCAGCTTTTGAGAGAGAGACTTAAGACTTGAGATTAAAAATGGAGGGGAGTGCTGAGGTTTCAGACCAGAAAAATAGAAACAAAAGGGCTGTGCAGGCCAGAGAGCACGGAAGGGAAGAGGAAATGGAGAGAAGGAAGAGAAAAAAATAATAGAATAAGAGAGAGAGGGAGGCAACCGAGAGAAGAAAGAGAAAAAACAATTAAAAAAAAGAAAGGATGGGAACGGGTACACGTGTCTAGCAAGTGCTGTGAGAATCGCTTTTGAGCGATTGTGAATAGCATTCCTCAA